GGGGGGGGGGGGGGGTGTTTTGCACTCCTGACTCCAGATAATACTGTTAATACTTTTGGAAGGAAAATAAAACCTTGCTCCACAGCTATGTTTTAATAAGCTCTGCATCCTGAGCTCACCATAATGAACATTAAAGCTTTTATTTCTAGCAAAAAATTTTGCATTCCTTTTTCTGTTCAGCTTTTTCCAAATGTGCCAGAACTGGGAAGCTTGCCTTTTCCCCACTGGAGCATGGGTTTAAATGGTCTCTTGTGAAATAGGCAGACCTTTGGTTTACAAATTAATATCTACTACAGTTTTATGAAGGGGAAAATAAGGCCCCTGTGGTGCACTTGGAGAAGGCTCAGAGTAGCACAGGGAAAGTCAGATGAGCTATGATACTGAAGAATAGGGTAAGAAAAAATTTGCACTAGTCTGTGGTCCAGAACTTGATATCCCCATTTCATCCCGTCTCTCCCCCTGCCCCATGTGAGCCTGATAACTGCAAATCTTCTGGACTGGTACAAAATATTTGCATCATTTGAATTATGGGATTCTCATGTTTTTAAAATGGGTTAAAGCCACCTAGATCAGAGCCAAAATATTAGATCTTCGGATCCATATCTTCCTGCTATATGGCCTCCCTTGAATGTCTCCATGCTTTTAGTGGCCACTTTTCCAAGGACTGCTACAGCTAGGAATGGGGTTGTAAAGCGTTGTAAACCCCTGCTTTGCCACCTTTGTTTCTTTGCCATGCTTGAAGATTTCCCCTTCTCTGCAGATGAGTTGGAGGAAGTAGCTTCTCCCAGCCTCAGCCAACCACTTTCCATGCCCTGTTGCTTAATCCAGAGTACATGTGTTAACCTTAACTCCTCTTCAGTGTCCCTGGTTGGAGGTGAGGAGTAGAAGGGAAAGCAACAAGAATGATTAAAGGTCTAGAGAACATGAGCTATGAAGGAAGATGGAAAGAATTGGGCATGTTTAATTTAGAAAAGAGAAGAGTGGGAGGGGACATGATAGCAGTTTTCAAGCACCTAAAAGAATGTTACAAGGAGGAGGGAGAAAAATTGTTCTCCTTGGCCTCTGAAGATAGGACAAGAAGCAATGGGCTTAAACTGCAGCAAGGGAGGTTTAGGTTGGACATTAGGAAAAACTTCCTAACTGTCAGTGTTGTTGAGTTAAAAAAAAAAAAAAAAAGAAACTGACCAGGGCAACAAAACTAGAGGGGAGGGGGGGTTGGGTTGCCTCGTGTCCCCCCAGGAATTTCTTCACGCCCCCCAGATTGGGAACCCATGGTCTAGATGGTGCTTGGTCCTGCCATGAGGGCAGGAGACCTCTTGAGGTCCCTTCCAGTTCTAATGTTCTATGAGTCTATACTTGCTGCATGCCATCCATGTCACAACTGGCGTTTTCCACATCCACCAAGAGCAGGGCCAGCCCTACCATGAGGTGAACTGAGGTGCCAGACTGTGGAGGGGAAGGGGTGCCACTAAGACCCAGAGTGTAGAAAATTGTGTCTGCTGCTGGTGCCTATGTATTCTCTATGCTCTAGATGCACAGAGATGGTGGGGTGGAGTGCTGTGCTGGAGGAAGGAGGGCACAAGAGACCTTTCAAAGTTTTGTCCCAAGCGAGGGGACATGGGGGCGTCATTTGAGCTCCCCACCTCTAGTGCCAAAATGTTGTGGGCCGGCCCTGATGGAGAGGCATTCCCTGATGCAACAATTTTATAACAGCTTTGTAGCATCAAGCAGAATTCATCCATTGACCCTAGACAGGTTCCCCACATTGTCCCATTTGCATACCAAAATGGCACAGCCACCTTGTGTTGTGCGCCTCTCACACATCCTCCTGTATTCCTTGCATATACTGCTTGGTTGCAACTGTTCTGAGCAAAGCCTTAACCACTCCTGTCACATTCTCTTGCCAGTGACTGAAAAGGCTTACGAGAGCGAATCCTGTACAGATAGTGATGGGGAAGTCACCAAAGCCAAGCTGCCAGCTGCACTCGGTCCGTCCACGTTGGCTGGGAAGAAAGAACCCAAGGAGGAACGGAAAGGCCTGAAGAAAGGGGTAGCCCCAGCCAGCAAAGCAAACAAACAAGTGTCCATCATGGGCTTCTTTCAGAAGAAATGAACTGAATCTCTCCCCACGATCCCTGGGCAGCTTGGAAATGTCGCTCCTTTCAGTAGCTTTCTATAAGCCTCAGCTTTGGAGGAGAACAACCCGACGGGCTATCCTGGTGGGAAACATCTAGCTTCCTGTGTAAATAAGCTCTCCAGACCAGGTTTTACATCAGAAAACGTAACTGTATCCATTACCGTTTAATTCTGTCTTCTGTGCTATGCTTTTGAAAGCAGCGGCTGGGAGCAAACTCTAGAGGAACACATGGAGCTCCGTTAACTTGTTTACATGATGACATTTTAATTTTTTTTAAGCATGGCCTGTGACCTGTCCAGAACTAAGGCCTGTTCCATGAGTAGCTGGAGAAAATAAGAAGCTAATCCTTTTAGTGGAATCATTTGATCTTTTTTTCCTGTTTAAATGTTCAGGTTGGTTAAAAACTGTCGTGTAACAGGCTCACACCCCAATGTTGAACAACTGCCTACAGCTGTAACTGGATGAAATCAATTTGATTTCCCACTCAAGACAGGTAAATAGTTTTCTCTCTGCCTTTATAATCTTTGTTGGACAAAGTACCACATAAAATTCTTTCAACTGTTTCTTCCTTTCATACACCCTCTGTAAAGTGCTTGGGTGCCTAATTAGAAACCAGAACACTGCTTATGCTCCATCACTCTTTTCAAAAAACATCAGAAAGGCTTGCCACGCAGTTGGATATAGTGAACCTAGGGGAAGGTCAAGCCCATCTGGCCACTGGGAAAGAACTGTATGTTCAGCTGGAGAAGTGGGTGGTGATTGAATTGAAGTGGGTGTATGAGCAGGTTGTCCTGATGTACCTGCCTGCAGCATAGCCAGGGACATAAAGACATTTGCAGCTCCTATTTTGTTAGCTTTTATTTATTTAAAATCTAATGGACATGTGCCATGTACAGATTTTTTTTAAAAAAACCTTGTGTCTAAGGAAATGTGCCATAGCAAAATATTGGCCCCAAGGAACCAATAGCCTGTGAAGATGTGCATGGTTTTGGGGCCCAAATTGCCAAACGTGACTAGGGGTTTTGGTTGTCTGAACTTTCATCTACAGTTAAAATTTCGATGGATTTAGCTACGCCGCTTAGGGGTATGAGAGATTCCCAGCCCTGAGCACCATGGTTAAAGTGGCCTGATCCCAGTGTAAATGCAGCTGTGTTGATGGAAGAATTCTTCAGTCGACCCAACTAACTCAGCTCAGGGTGGTGAATTCTGCACGTGGACAGAAAACATCCTTCTTTTGAGGTAGGGACATCTTTATCCACTGGAGTGTAGACATGCCTCAGCTTTGGGAAGCTCAACATGAGACACCTTAAAAGAAACTATTTTTCAGAGGGTCCATGCTTAGTGCTTTTGGAGAATCCAGCCCCTTCAAGGCATTTCCCATTGGACATCTAAACTCATGAGTAACTTTGAACAGGATTTTAGGCCTACTCGTACAGATGGAGAGCCTTGAGTGAGTGCCGATGACAGGGAGTGGATAAAGGAAGGAAATTGATTATAGTTCAAACCTGAGGTACTGAGGAACATTTTAACGTTCAAGAAGCTGTAATTCAGGCTTACTTATCAAACAGTTTCTTTTAATAGGTCATGGTGCTGAACAATCAGAATTAGCACTCATCCTAACAGAAATCCCCTTCCCTTTCTTCCCTGAAATCAAGAGTAGTTCCAGCTTAGTGAAAGCTAAAACATTATAAGCTGCTAACATGCTAGGCTGCTACTCTCATGTCTGCTCAGAGCAAGAGGGTGTCTCTGGATTTCTGACTATACTTATGCCGTACCTGGATGGTAATGGTGATTGTAGTAAATAAACTCAATCAACAGTTTAGTGTTTAAGGTTAGCCTCATAACTGAGCTGTGGATAAAAGAGAGAAACTACACTGAATTCTTTGACTGGGATTTCCCTAGCAGGAGACTATAAGACAGATATCAGTGGGGCAGAAGTGGGGTTGACATTGTATCTGTAGGTGTTAAAACTTGGCTTTTCATGCAGCAAGATGGGTAAGGTTTCACATGTTCGGGACAATTTTAATGGCAGTAGAGGGCCCCCACTGCAAAAGGATGTAAAGCCTTGGTTTTACGAAGAACTTTGCATCTGTCCCAGAATAATTCCACTTCAATGTTTCTATTTTTCTTGACACAGCTGGAAGTATATTCTAAGAGTAAATTTCAATAATAAAACCCTTTAAACACTTACCTTCTCTTGTTTGTGTTACTGATTGTTCTTGGAGAGTCGTGCTACTTTCTGATTTCCTGAATAGCTTGTACAAATCTGTGTAAAACTGGTTCATGGTATTCAATTGCATGGAAAAAATTCCAGATATAAAAGCAATCCAAGACTTTATAGAACAAAGGATGCAACTATTACCCAGTCTGTTAACTGGGGAGTCTAGAGAGAGTTTGAGGGCTTTAAAGTTCCAGGTATATTGTTTAATGCAATGCTGTGCTATGAGACAAACATGCTGGTTTCTCTTGCCCTTTATAAAGATTAAAAGGGTATCTTCTGGCATGACTGTTATAAGTTCTGTCATTGGTTGGAGGCCCTCTACTTTAATAGTTCTCAGATTCCTGGGTGATCTAGGGTAAGTTGCCTGGCACAAGGCTGAATCATGGGTCAGTTTCTTGTGAGACTGTGGGCAAGTTCCCCATCTATAAAAATTGGACTAGCACTTCCTAGCTCCAGAGGTGCAGAGGATAAATGCATGAAAATATTGCGAGAGGTTCAAATATTAAGATAATGGGAGCCATATAACTACTATAGATAGTAAGATTTTCTTTGTATTCCTGTGTGCAGATTGTTTGTCCGGGATGTTGCCTAGGTTAACATTCTCCATTGCTAGGTATAATACCCAGCACTTGCATGATACCTCTTTTCTTCTGAGGATCTTTGAAATCGCATTACAGTTCTTGGTATCGCTGTCCCCATTTTAAAGATGAGAAAGTTGAGGCTCGGGTTAAATTACACATTCTGATGCTTGGGAGTAAAAATCAAGAATCCTAGTGTGCCAGGTCCCTGTTTCGATCAAGGCCCCTGGATCTTGCGGCCTCAGGGTGGAGGGTAGTTTAAAAACAATGCACATATGCTAAGCGATGGCTCGAAACACTGCGGATAGTTCGACAAGTGAAAATATACGTCCTTCGCTTTGTAAGAAATCTGGAAAGTTAACTCTGACAACTTCCCACATCGTTAAGCAGAGTGGATTCTGTTTGGAATGAGTGTCTGCATTTTCACTCCTCCATGCTGCATGTGGCTGGTTCAACCAGTCCTTTGCTGACTGTAACAGCTGTTGCAAAAAGAAAGCGATTGTGGGAGGAGCTGGGAAGCATTTTTATCAACTTGCACTTCCCTGTTCTAATAAACGTCTGCAGCGAAATCCATCACTACTTGGCGTGCAAATCAGTCATTTCTAAACCCTCCCTGTTGATGTTCCCAGTGATGTTCATTCCCCCAGATAAGCATGTGGAATCATTTTGTTCTCTCTGTATTTTTTAGTTCCTGGAGTGCGATGCCAGCAGAACATTAGATATTGAACAGGAGAGTGCAGAGAACAGCAGGCCCGTATAAGGAAACATAATCGCTCCACAAGGTCATGAGCAGAATGAGTGGATCACACGCATTTGCCAACAAAGTATTGTGTGTCAGTACACCATTTTAGTAGACCCATCTTTTCACCATGGTGAAGAGATCCTAGGTAGTGTAATGGCAGGTTTAGTTGGAGCTCTTCTTGGTGTTTGCATGCATAATGATTATGGAAGCTATGGCTTGGCCATTAGGGCATCAACTTGTTGGATTCCATTTTGTCCCATTGCCCAAACTATATCACGTAATAGCTCTCAAACTCCCCACTCTGCAACTCCTTCATTTGATAGTGTTTTGGCTAATAGCCCTGTTCATGGCCGAGGAATCGGTGTGTGCCACCTTGATTCTACCCAAACCAGTAATTCTGCATCCTTTGTCGTATAAATCTAGTTGTATTGAGGAAATTAATGGCCTCTGCCCATGCAGCAGTTCACTTTTCTGCCAATTTAAATTCTGTGGATTCCATGGATTTCTTGGTGACATCACATCATAGCTGGAGATGTTGCCATGTCTTATTGCTTTTCCCTCCAGCCCCTGCTGGGTGTTCTGCTTACCACATCTTTTCACCCTTTAGATAGACCAAATGGGTGCTTCTCCTGACTATTAGGCTGCTTCATTCCAGCTACTGGTGAATTTCTTAGATCCTCCAACTCCTTCCTTCAGGGATGTAATTGAAGTTAAGAATATAGCAAATCTAAAAGGGGATTGGACATTATCCTAGTTAAAATTTGGAAGGAATATTGAATCTTATGCTTTAGGATTCAAGAGAAAAAGATTAAATCTCACATGGGTGCCAAGTTATCCCACATCCACCTGCTGTGGGGTTCTGATGCCTCGCTCTAAAAGAGCTGGTTCTTGTTACTGTTGGGTGGGCCTTGTGTTGCTATTCCAGTATATCTGAGACTGGCTGTCAGGGCCCGTTATACCATCAGCTGATCCACCAAACTGCACCTATTTATTGGGTCATACAGACCAAGTTCTCTAAAGCTCTGGAGCTAACCTATGGACTAGCAGGACCTGGAGACTACTGCTGTCTCTCGGATGGGCATGCAGGTGCTGACAGAGCCTGAGGTGAGACTGCCATGAGCCAAGCCCTCTATTATGGCACATCCTGCAACTGGGTTTCAGGAAGAGCCAGATGGGGCTAGTTTTGGGGTGCAATGCCAGTTTTGTCTGTCTGTGCCATGACCACTACAAACCCAAACTGAACTGTCCTCAGTTGCTTTTTTTTTAAAAGCAAACAAGAGCAACCTTCTTTAGCCAATGGCAAAAACCTATGGAGAGCATGAGCCTTTTGTTTATTGGTCTAGATGCTCTCTTTCTGGGGAAATGAGATTTGACCACAGAACAGGGTGGGTGACACTGCTGAAGATTCTCTAAGGATCAAGAGAGAGGCTCAAGCGTGTCCCCTTTTGGTAACATCAGCAGGTTCTTTCTGGGGATCCTTTCCATGCACACCAGGCCATATCATCTGGCAAAGTCTGTCTGACGACTTGGTCTGAAGCAATGTTCCCTCAAACCTTTTGCATCCATGTGTGGAATACATTTTCTAATGTGCACCAAGGCATGTGCACCACTAGTAGAAACACAAAACTAGCTGTAGGCGCTCTGCCAAACAGCTGGGCGTCACTGGAATCTCTTGTGAGTGGCCACATAAGCGCTCAGTTTACAGGAAACACGAGTCTGAAGGCAGATCAGCAGTTTTAAACCCTTCTTCACAAGGGTTAGTAGAATTCCATTACTTCTGAAATTTGAGACACACATCTCATGCCAAGAGGGAAAGCTAGTGTAACCTGAGTAGGTTTCATTCTTCTGTCCTTGTGCCCTGGTTTGAAAAAGGCTAGATTCGCTTTTGATGAGTTACAATTTCTCCTTGGAGGCTGATGAATATTTTTGTGGTATTTTGAAGAAAGATAATGGGCCATTCTTCCTTTGGTTATGTCACCTGGTTGGAATGCAGCTAAGATACCAAATTGAAGTGTCAGTGTT